GTCTTGGTTTCGTGCTTACCGATTTTCATGGTTCTAGAAGCTCCGGGCTTGGTATTGTAACAGATCCGCTGCAGTTCACATCTTCCAGTGAGCTTCCGCATTACAAATTTCAGGCAGCGCCACAAAAATTTACAGTAAAAATACAGGCATACCTGGATCAACATTCTGTGAAAAACAAAAGACAGCACCCTTCCAATAGAACTCTGGAAGAGAAGAGAAAGCAGCCACCACCAGCAAGAAAAGGAGCCCAGAAGAAAATCACCATTAGACTTCTGGATTTGCAAGTGTGTGTTTCTAATCCCATGTTGCTTATTTACAGTAGTTAAATTTACTGTGACTTCAAAGCAACTCCAGAATGCCCTATTCTAGTAAATTTGATATTCCAACAAACTGAGGGTGAAGCATTGAAATCCTTTGTTTTCCCACCTTGGCCTAAAAACATTTTGGAAATAAATCAGTACCTGGAACCACACAGTCCTTTAACACTGCTAGTGTTTTAGGAGTTGTCTTTCCCTTAGACATGGGGGAAGAGTGTGTTCTCCTCTTGTCTTCATAAACAGCCTGGCAGCTTGCCCTTGCTCACTTCCCGCCCTTAGGCACTGTTGTCCTCCTCGAGGACTTGGTTGTGTGGCCTCTTGTCTCTTCTGCCGACCAATCCTAACACTCCATGGACTTGCCTCCTCATCAATTCACTGAACAAGCACTGCTAACCTTTGAATCTCCTTAGAGGTAACAACCTTCTCTAATTTAAATTTTTCAAAAACTCTACCCTTTGAGAAGTTTGTTTTTGGCTATTGCTAAAGAAAGTTTTCCTTACTGCACACCCTACCTCACTCCAATAATGCCTCAACAACCTATGAACTATATTGTCACCAGTCATGTGCTTATTCACATATCTCTAGCACATGTAAATCTATCTTTTATGATGACTTTTTTTATTATTATTTTATGATGACTTTTAATTTTTAAAATGTGAGTGCCTACTGCTTCATGGCACTGCTCAGAGTCTCAAAATGACTCAAGCTTTAGAGGTAAAGAGGACCTTATCCAGGAATTATATAATCAACCTATCTTCTCGTCATACTATGCATTCCTAGGAGGCAGAATTATTTATATATTACTTCCTATTAGTGTAATTTCTTTCTTTCTTTCTCTCTCTCGCTCTCTTTCTCTTTCTTTCTTTCTTTCTTTCTTTCTTTCTTTCTTTCTTTCTCTTTCTTTCTTTCTTTCTTTCTTTCTTTCTTTCTTTCTTTCTCTCTCTCTCTTCCTTTCTTTCCTTCTTTCTTTCTTTCTTTCTTTTCTTTCTTTTCACAAGGTCTTGCTCTACTGCCCAGGCTAGAGTGCAGTGGCATCATGATAGCTCACTGCAACCTCAAACTCCTGAGCTCAAGTGATCCTTCTGCCTCAGCTTCCCGAGTAGCTGGGATTATTCAGCACACACCACCACAATTGGCTGATTTTTCTATTTTTTGTAGAGATGAAGTCTCCCTATGTTGCTCAGGCTGGTCTTGAACTCCTGTCCTCAAGCGATCCTCCTGCCTCAGCCTTCCAAAGTGCCAGGATTACAGATGTGAGCCACCACGCCTGGCCTACTAGTGCAATGTCTACAAGATGAGTTTTTTTTATTCTCAAAAGTTCACTAATTCCTTCCAGCTCTAAAATAAGGTGATCTATGATTATTCAGATAAATTGGAGTAGTTAATTAATAGCCTCAACAATGTGATCCAACCCTGAAAATGAACCAATACCTTGGTTGTGCTCCTTTGCTCAAATTGCTCTGGTTTCATATCTTCAACAGCCTTGTGTTAAAAACAAAAATTCTAACAGTCTGACTTGTACAAAGCATGTGGTCTACATCTTATAATAAACGCAAAGGAAATGGAAGGAAACAGTACAAACAACCAAGCTGCTACATTGAGATAACACAATGGAATACTTTGCAGGCAATAAAATATCCTAGATGTCCTAGGATATCTCATAACATGAAAGTGTCCATGATATGTTTATCAAGTTAAAAGAAGTTAGAAAGGAATATGTATGGAATTATCTACTTTTCCTTTAAAAAATAAAACAAAAAAT